AAAATTAAGTAAAAAAAAATGTTGGAAAAGACATTGATGTTAATGGAAGCAAAAACAATCGTCATTACTAGGAATGGCAAAATTAATGTAACTGATATTTATTCTAGGGCATCTGTACTTGTAGCTAATAGCTGTTTTTAATAACTCGTGCTAGCTTCAGGCCTGGAGCAAATTATTCCCCATTTTTCTTTTTTAAAAAGATTAGGTGCGCAGTAATAGCTGTTTGGAACTCTATCTCAAAAATTTACTTGCAGCTAGGTTGGTGGTGGTTTTTGCAACAACTAAGATGGAAAACCTGTCACTTTGTATTACTGATATGAAAAGGCTGATAGATTAAATCTTTCTGTGCCAGGAAAGACCTTGCTGGTATATACTGTAGCTGAGATTTTTTTTTTTTTTTTTTCCCAAAAATGCTGGAAGCATCACTGCCAGTTTTTGACAGCTGGGTTGTAAGGAAATGACCAATTGTAGAAGTCACTTCCTGGAGTGAGGCAAAGCTTCTTCATGTTTCATAGAACTACTTGAAAACTAATACCTGCAGGGAATCAAACAAACTGTTTCCCAGAATTTTTTCTCTGATATTTTTTTATCCATATCAGCTACAGCTTGACAGCCACCATTGCCCACTGCTGATGATCCTGTTTTTTCTTCTGAGACTCCTCTGTTCTCCAAAGCTTGGCCTGACTTGCTACAGTTTGCCAGGAATTTCCAGCTTCTGCAAGTAGCTGTCGGGCTGAGCAGCCTTCCCAGGCATATATAGTACACAAGTATATTTAAGATCATGCTTTCTTTCATGACAAAGCTGCATCAAGACCGAATCTAATCCTGAAACTGCCTTCCATTTTCCCATCAAAAGGCAATCTGAGCACAAAAACTGTTCACTTTGTCACCATTTTACTATCCCGATATACACTTTTTTCCTTATTCCAAATCAATGAAATGACGAAAAACCAACAGCAAAGTGCAGCTGGAGTTTGGGCTGGAAGCAGAGTGTGTGGAAGGAGGCCAGTTCACACTACCATGCACAAGAGACCAGGCTGGACAGCCCTTCCTTTTCCTCCTTCACAGCTCCTCTTGGAGACAAGCCAGTTGCCAAACTGCTGGGGCTTTGCCAGTGTTGTACAGCATAATACAAAAGGTGTTTCATAAATCGTAGTGCAGGTTATTTAGGGATCATACTGGCTTTTTGCCAGGTAGGGGTGTGGTGAGCAATTTGGAAATGTGCAGTGTGTATGATACGTGGCACACATTTCAGTTTCCTCTTCATCAGCTGCCTGCAGGGTACAGTTAAGATAGCTTCAGAACCTTTACAGGTTTGGCCTTTGTGTGCATGCATTTACACTCATCTACCTGTTTTCATTTTAATTTATTAATGCCTGGATTTGAGGTCATAAAGTAGTTTCTCCTATGTTCTTGAGGAGTACTTTCAAATTTTATGCTATTTTAGGATAACATTTGCCTGCACGTTCTTCATAAAATCTGAGTTGATTTGCACAACTGCTAAAATAAGAGATGTTAGAGGCTATATAAATTTCAAATGGTTCTCAGGTAGATGACAAAGTTGTGTTAGAAGGCAAAGATACATTATTACTGCTAGTCACAGCTGGGTTTCTGTCTTCCAGGTGACACACGTAGTCGTAATGAAGTGGAACAGTTTGATTTTTTTTGTTTTAATTTTCAGTACACAAATCCTAAAGGACACTTATGGTGACTAGCTGTAAACTATCTGACTTCAAATGAGCATATAAATTAACCCAGCTCCACAATGTAAAGAACTTTTCTCTCATCTTTTACCTTATCTTCTCAATGGCCTGTGCTACTCTGGACTAGTCAGCAAGTTCTAAAAAATTTTTGGTCAGTTGTGACCCTCTTGAAGGCCAAACCAACCTATTCTATAGCCTTGGACACTTTGAAGGAGTTACTAAATGTCTTGAGAACATTTTCAGGTGCTTGTAGAATGCCTTCATACTCTTTCATAAACTGTCTGTATTTTCCCAATATTGCTTGGAAAGAAGGTGATGTAGAAATTGAGGCATAGAGGGAAAAGATATTGGTAAAAACTGCTTTAATATTGTCCATCAGGAGAGGAAAACTGTACATTGGCATGTGTGGTGTCAACAGTCCCGGTCACTGAGCATTTTAAAAGAGGGAATGGGCTGAGTGCATAACTTCCACTGCAGCTGTAAGTACTCAGTACCTCAGCAAACAAAGCTGAAGGTGCTAAGCTGATCACCCAGAAAATGTGTAGTCCATATGTAATGACCATTTAGTTATCTTGAAGTGACTTGCTCACATAATATACAAATCCTGTGGTACTGACTGGTAGAGTTTGTATCCTTTCTCCTGACAGCATTAAACTACCTTGACTATGAAGTGCTTTCTAATCCTGCAGTCCCAAAACTTATTCAGAAGCACCTTCCATCTTCTGCGGCAGATGAGAGAAACCAAGTTTTCTTCACTACATTTATATTTTACCCTCAAGCTCTCTTTGTTCTGTTCATTGGCAGAGCTATGTAGAAAAAAATATAGTGTGATGAGGTAATTACGGCTTGTGTTGTAATGTGTGTGCCCAAGGGGCTTGCAATAACATTGCATAGTTTCCTAGTTCTGCCTGTAATATAAATATGAGTGGAAGAGATTTAAAGTTCGCTGAAGAAGTAACTTTAGGAGGTTTTTATGACTCTAAAATGCAATTGTTATTTTCACATAAATGATAGGTATCTTCTTGTGATCCAGCTTGGGAAGCACTAGCTTTATGAGCCAAGACTCTTAAGTGGCTATAGCAAACCTGCACAGAAAGTGTAATAGAAATAGGTCATCTCCTGCAGAGTAAATCAACCTCAGATTGCATCAGATAACCAACAATTCATCAGTTTTACTACAGCTGCCAGACATCTGGGTTTGAGTCTTGGCCAAGAGTATTTAGAATTCAAAGTGTGCTGTAAAATAAAGTAATACTGTTGTGCTTTCTTTTAATATCTCTGAAATAAGTTCATAAGGGTTTGATCATTATTAAGAAATGTCACCTACCTTCAGTTCGTTATATTTATCTTTTTATCTTCTTCTTGAGCCCTGAGAATCTATCCCCAATGTGATAAGCATTATTCATGGGGTATCATAAGTCCCACTCTGTATTGTGGCGGTCAGAAGTGACGTTTTCTGGGTTTTTTGAGGCATAACAGCAGTCGTTGACTTACAGTGGACTTCCTGACAGCTATTTTCTACTGCCATCCTGTGGATGTGGTTCAACTGCATTTTGCTAAATTTTCACGCTAGTTTTTAAGGCATGGTATGCCGAAACTTAGGCCATGCCTTGGCCAGTTGTCCAAGGCAGGAAGGCAAATTCCACAGTTTTGCTTGCACACTGAGTGCTATAATTGGCCAGCCTGTGATATGCATCTTTGTACTCATTTCTTAAAAGAACTTAAAATGTCTGGACATTAGAAAATTGTCCATAGTGTGTCCAGACACTGTTTTAATAGTCTCTGCATATTATCAGTGCCCACAAAAGTGATATTCAGAGTTATTTGTAGCTTGCTGCATGGGCTCAGCACTAGCTCTGGCAAGAAATTTATCCATTATCTGTGTTACATATTCAGTAGCACTCCACTGCCGGACAATGAAGTTTTTAGGTAGTCTAACTATCAGCAATGGAAAACTGAGCCTGAGGTATTTTATGTAGGAATAATAGCACTTGGTCTAAGAAAGAGCATATGTGGCAATCAGGAAATCTTTTAATCTAAAGTCTTGGATAATCCCTCTATTTTTAACTGGTTGGACTCTTGCCATTTTTATGTGGGGCTTGGGTGAAAGGAAGCTAAGCATTTTTCTTTGTCACAGCTTTCCCAGAAAAATAATTAAAATACAGTGTAGACAATTCCTTTTCCCTAACATCCATCTTTCTCTTAGACCTGATACTTTTATAAGACTTCCACATTTTTCTCCTACCAGTTCTAAAACTGTAATTTTTTTTTTAAGGCAATCCAAAACTGATTCACCAGCATTACCTTACTGAAGACCCAGTAACTGACCAACCTAACGGGAACTGGTGTATATAGTAATGGCCTTATGCCTTTGGATTTTTTCACTTAATTCGTTCATGATGCTGAGATGACACATCAAATAACTTTGATCATTTGCAGACTTTCCGTACACTCTAGCACTTTCCTGAAACACTCTAGTAGAGACTGTACTAGTGCTGCAGAAGAAGACTATGCTTATGTATGTATGTGAATTGCAACATATTTATTGCCTGGCTATTTTTACTCCCCTGGATTCAGTAGAATTCATCATGAAGGCATGAATTAATATAGATTTCGGCTGATTTGAATCACAAACGCTGCTCTAAAAAAAATGTTTAAAAGCCAACAAGTCTGAATTTGCTATCCCTTGAGCTCAACAGTTTGCTTAATGACTTTGTTCTGGCTTCGTACACAACAAATTCCCATGCAAACACAATGTTAAAGTTGAAGGATATGAAGGCAGAAGGTTGAACAGTGACAATACTTTTCAAGTACAGACCACAACAACATTTTACTTAAGCCTGTAAAACTGTTACTATTCCTGCCAATGATATGCATATTTTAGGCAAAAGTACATGCCTGAAAACTGTTTAAAGGTTGAAAAACTGCAGTTTTGCTGAGTTGTTAGTTTTGTATTATCAGGAGAGCCAGGGTCAATAAAAATTGACTTACCTTGTCTTACTCTTCTTTGTTTATAATTTTATAACGTTAATGGGATTAGTCTAAAAATAACCCTTTACATTTGGAAAAAATTAAGTAAGTCAGTTTTACAAAGCAGAACTGTTTTTTCAGTGCTGACAAATTACCTTATTTTTGCCCAGATAGAAGAGATAACGTATTAAAAATTTCTTTAAACCTTAATAAGGTAATTTGGAATATATGACCTGTAACAGATCTAAAGCACTGTGGCTGTCCTGAATGTGCTGTCTGTAGAACCCAGCACATGAAAAGAAATGGTCCATTATATTCAGACCCCTGTTATAACTCGTTGATAAAAGCAAAGAGCATCTGTGAAACAGCATACCTTTATAAGGCAGTATAAAACAATACTGAATGTAAGCGAAGCATCCCCATATGTTTTGTACTATTGCCGTTACAAAGATTTCCTGCCAGTACCTATCCAAATTGTTTTACCTAGGTTTATGTTTTCCTTAGGGAGAAAGCTAAGTGTCTATTTTCTCTGTGTGAACACTGCTTTTTTTCTGTTGTCTGAGGACAAGTCTGGTTTTACATCTGCACTGGCAGGTCAAAAATCACATTTACATGTGCAGACACTGATCACAACCAGTCACCACCATAACTTTATAAATACTTTCTGTGCGTAAGTGAGACAAAAATTAGAACAGGTCTGACTCTTATCCTCTCCTACTTCCCCTAACTTATTTAGAATTGATGCAGTCTGTTATTATCCTATCACATAAACTGTTTTCCAGGCTCACTGTGTTATCTTTAATATTTTCTCACCTCTGTATGATGAAGTCTATTTTACCACAGTCTTTCCTCTTCATGCTCCAACTTCCTACCTGCACTCTCATTCATCCTACAAGATATGTCAGTCTGGAGCTCTTTCCTTCTCAGGAACTTCTTCCCATCCTGGGTCAGCTTCTTCCAGATATCCTGGGCTTTATCTGCCCTTGTAGTGCAGATGTTTTTGTGGGACAGAGCTGATCTTCTTTGAAAGATTACTCCAGTAAGCTGGTTCTTCACTGCTTCCTTCAGTGCAACTCCCACTCCTCCCTTGGACTCATTGTTCCAAAAGTCATCCTTAAAATGGGGAAATTTTAATTTCCTCATTCATCCTCCGAGGAACACAATTTCAAGGAGCTGCTGAAAATGTTTTTTTCTGCCAGAAAGCTTCACAAACAACGCTGCTTGTGAATGATGAGTTTCTTCATCTGCTGCTCTTAGTAGCAGCCCTGAGTGGTCTGCACTGTCATACAGCAAAACACTTTGCTTTCTAGATGGTTATCTCTAGGATGTACCTGTTTAGCTTTTCTTGATACTAAGTATCATGCAAAATATGGGAGGTTTAATCAAATTTAGAAAAAACAAGCAAGTAAGGAACATTCAAAGGAACCTTTGAACATTCAGGAGGCATATCCGAGTCTCTTCTGCTTGTTTGTGTTCGTTGTTATTTTTTTCCACAAAAATTGAATGACCTGTCTCTCCTTCCTGGCTTATTGTCATGCAATATCTGGATGGGTGCCATGTTTTACACAAAGAGGAATTATGATCACTTTAGACAAAATAACAGTTGCTTCTATAAGTCTTGAGTATTTTGAAAAGTTTGAAACACTGTTGTCAATTGCTAGAGACATGGTGCCAAACTAATAATAAATTGCTATTATAATCACCTAGCAAAAGAGACTAACTTGTGTCTTGTCCTGGGGCCAGAAAAGGCATTTAATAAACAGAGCTGATACTGGAACAGTAAGTATCAGCTCTTCTGATTCTTCATCTATCAGCTATCTAAATGATAACATTTTAGGCAAGAGGTTTGACTTTGGTCTGCAACTACGGTCAAATGAGTACTTAGCACCAACAGAAAAAAAAAAAAAAACCCAACACTTTTTTGAAGGTATATTAATTATTCTCTTCCGTGTTCTAATTCTGTTCTGCAAACATGCCTTAAACTGATTTAAGAATTTGAGAGTAAAAGTACCATTACTTCAAATTAGCACATTTCTGAATCTTGTTCAGGTTCTGGAGTTGACTCTGTGGGTTAATTAGAATTCTGCTTCCTATAGCAAACTAGAGTGATTTAGACAAATACTGGATGGTTGTAGGCCTACCTTCATTCTTTTGGTGCAGGGTCCTCAAATATATCAGGACTGGTAAAATTCTGAAGCACAGTGTATCAGAGACAGTCAGGGAATGGACAGTGCTGAAAACCCCTATATCCTCGTCAGCTGTAATAGACAGAAGCTTTTAATTCTCCCCCAGCATAAGGCTTGGATGTAGGACACTCAAAGGCCTGACTGATACAGATTGAGATCCAGATTTGTGGGAGAGCAGAAGAGATGAACTAGTGACTTTCTGAGCTGTGGCCTTGTCCATCAATTGCTTGAGGCAGAGATTCTCGTATCGCTTCATACCTTCATGGTTTGCTGTTTCTAAATTAAAAAGTAGTTCTGTGAAGAGCACTGAGACTTTATATCCTTGCTCTCAGCTAGGATCAAGTCTGCTTACTTCAAGTTGATTCTTTGGGCTGCTCTTCAAGAGCTCCAGTAGAAGTCCCTCAAAATCATTAGGAATTCACTTTACATCTGAGCACAGGTCTTCATCCTTTCTCTCACATATACCTCAATACAATAACTAGGGCACGTTTTAGTCTCTCACACCATTAGCATGTCTGTTAATCCCTACAGCTTAGACTGGAGGCTTTTTCCTTCTAATGGCAGTACTTAATACTAACAAGAAAGAAACATGTTGTTCTGAAAAGACTAACATCTAACCTCCTGATTCTTATTATTTTATCCCAGTGAGTGTACTTGGAAACAGTGTGGGCACTGCATTGTCTTTCTTCCTTCTTTGTTTGTGAAATATTAGAGATTCTACTATCGTAGAAATATTTTTGGTAGGACAAGGGTATTCCTGCAACTGTGAGTCACGTAGTCATGTCGAAACACAGTTTATTAAAATGATGGCAGTTTGCGTAATACATCTATGCATAGGATCAAGAATCTGAAATACTTAATCCAGATGACTAAAACCACACTACTGCAATGCAGAAGCCCCTCAGAGTTGCCTATGTTATGCTTTCTGTTGACATTATATTTCCTTTCCCTTTCCTTTAAAGTTTCTCAGATACCTGTTCTGCACCAAGCAGATTTTTGAAGAAGCACTGGTTGCATATGTACACTACCAGTGAGAAACCCATGTCTGTTCAGTGTCCCAAGATGGCCATCCTTTTATTCTGATGACTTCCTTCTTAAATCACCAAGAGAGCTACTTCTCTCAAAAGAGAGCCGTTACACCTTATATCTCCCAATCCAGCATTTTAAGTGTTACTGAATTTCTGTTTGCAAGTCGATTGTTTTACTGCAGAGGTGAGAACTTACCTATTCAGTCATTCACTTCATATTTTGGTCCCTGAGGCAGCAGAATGAATGCTTCTTAATGAAATGCTGTAGCAGCTAAGCTTTGTTTTCGGGTTATAAAGAGAAGCACAGAATCCTTGTTGGCATAAATTCTGTTTAACATATAGGGGCGACACTGATTTATTCCCACTGAGGATTTGTCTCAAAGGCTTTAATCTTTCACCCATTTTTTAAACTTTCTTCTGTTTTCTCTTCTAGGGCAACAGGCTTTGGGTTCTTGAATGCACTATGCAAAGCAGCAGCTGTACTTGGAAACTTAATATTTGGTTCCCTTGTTGGTATCACCAAAGCAATCCCTATTCTCCTTGCTTCTACTGTTTTAGTATGCGGAGGTCTGGTAGGACTTCGGCTTCCTGACACAAGAACCCAGGTGTTGATGTAACTGGAAAAAAAAGCCATTTGCTATTTATTTCTGTCTTCATATAAATGTCAAATCTCCTGAATGATGGTGCAAAGGCTTCAGATTCTCAATGCTTAGTAAAGTGCTCAGGTGTCAGAAATCAAACTCAAAGATACTTTGGAGTGACAAAGGTTTAGCAAGCTCTGTATTAAAGTTTTAAATTTTGGTTTTGTTTGCTTGCATACATTTCTATTCAAACCTACTTAACTTCAAACAGCAAAGCTACCTCTTAAAACACTTGGTGATGTGTCCAGGAAGGTAAAAAACATACTGATAATTAGATATCTAAAAAGCAAGCAGGCATGTTATTTAGAAAATACATGCTTAAAAATTGGCCATGTCATTGTGGGCTTTTGTAACAGTAGAGATATGCAAGTCAATTACTTAGCAGTCTTGGTGCAGAGAATGTTCATGTATCAATGCATGCAGCATTAATCAGAAAACTACACGTTGCATCGAGACTGAGAATACTGACCTCGTGCAGCCATGCTTAGAAGGTAAAAACTTCAGGCAATGCCTCTTTCTTTGGAAACCTGTTAGGTAGATTCAATCTAAAGTAAAGGTTACTAATGACACTCCGTGTTTCCTGAGGAGAAGGCAATAGCTACTGCAGGGAGATGAAAAGCCCATAGAGATGAGCAGCAAAGAAAGCAACCAATTGAACACTTTCACACTTCGCTGCTGATTCTCCAGAAATATTTTGTTTCCTTGGCACTTGTGGCATCTGGAATATTTTTGCCATTTTAAAACGGTGAATTTATCCTAATCCAGGAGTAAATCAATGAAAATATTTGTGGTGTTGTAAGTATGAATAAAGGAAGGATCAAGTCAATGAACTACATGAAAAATGAGATGCTTTCAAAAGTTTGCTTGGTGTTTACACTTCTAATATAGTTTTCTTCATCACAGAATGTTTATAAAAATGTGTCAATAGAATGCCACCTATTAAAATTAGTCAGTCATAACTTCAATATAGAGTGTAATGTAATTAAAACATCTCAAAAGATTTTCTTTAAATAATATCAAAACAAAGAAAAGCAATAATAAAACCCACCTTCACTATTTTCACAATTTATACACTTCTTCATATAACCGTTTTCTCAGCTGATTTCTAATAGTTCTAGAGATATCTCACCGTTTAACAGTTTCAAATATCTCTCTTAAAGGCCATTAAGAAAGAACCCATGGCAAGGCTACAAGGTGTGATAATGCTTTTATTAGAGCAGGCACAAGGATGGAGATCAAATGGTAGTAAATATATTGCTTCCAAGTGATACGCTGTGGACTACTCTGGATTACAGTAAAGATTTCCTCATAGCAGTCCTACTGCTATGCAAAAGGCTGGGTTATCTCTTTAAAATGTTAGCATTAAAAATGTAATGCAAATGCATTTGTGAAGTTAACAGACAAAAGGGGGAGATCCTATGATGACAAAAACTGGCATTGCTTTCAGTGTAGCTAAGACAACTTGTATCAGCTGATGAATTATCTCCAGTTTCAAGTTTCAAAGAACAAATTTGGTATAAAGCATAACAAAAAAAAATCAGTATTTTTTCTGGTTATGTCTGACAACATTTATTAGGTGGTTGAATCATTGCCAAAGAAATTACGCTCTTGGATAAGATCAACATGTAGTAATTTTTCTCTTGCTCATATATGTGTACTTAGCTTTGGGTAGTAATATCTATCACTGCATTCTGTGTCAGCCATCATCTTGGTCATATTGAAAGAGTCAGTAAAAGTCGACATAAGTAGATCATTCATTACATTTAAAGTTCACTGTTTATTTTACTGATTCTAGAAGTTACATTTTTCAGCTACTAACAAATGTCTGTGCTACACATTGTAGCACCAAAATGTTAGACCAAGATGTGTTTTTCTGCTATTAACAATTGAGAAAAGTGGCTGAATTAAAAAAGCATGTGTATGGAAAACTAGTGGGCATTTTTTTGATATTAATAATTCAATTATTCTATAGTAAGAAACAAAGTTTAGGAAGCTTGTTTGTTTTAGAATATAAACAGTCAAGAAGGTTGAGATTAAATATTTTATATTTAAACCTGAATTAAACATGTCTTTTAAATTTCTGAACTATATTTTAAAATAATAAAAAAAAAGGAATAATAATTATTTTTCACCAAGTTCAAAGTTAAGAACAAAATGTCGGCCTTAGTTTTGCATCTGTGGCATTTGTCCACTAGCTTTAGCCTTATTTCAAGGCTCTTTTCTCCAGTGATCACATTGGAGCCCTGTTTCTCTGTGCCATTCATTAGTAAAAAGTGTCTACCTGTTTGTCCTGACTGCACAACCTGATTTGAAATCTGAAGCCTTTGTATATATTTGGAGTAAACATCAACAGCAATGGTAAAATATTACATTGTCTTGCTATGCACTGTATGCGTGAAGTAGTATATTCTATCCATCTCTGTATGTAATCCTGAACAATGTCTAGGATTAGACTGTTCACTTCATGCCACCTGACCACTGTGGAGGAAATGGCCACAGGAGAATAACTTTTGAGGACTACGGTTCAAGACTAACACACTAAAATCTCTTTATATGTAAAATTATGCTGATTTCAGTGCTGGTTCTTATTATAAACCCTGAGTATATCACAAGTATGTGATTAAATCTGGATGAAGTGGAAAATAGCAACATAGGAATTAGTAATGGAGAGTAAAATTCCCAACTACATGCACCTTGCATGATCCAGAATTAGAGTGGATGTTCTGAGGCAGAAAAAGGAAAAGAGAAGAATAGTGTATAAGAAAAGGGAGAAGAAGTAAATTAAACAGATGAACAGATTAAAAATCCATGAACTTTTCCAACATATTAAACAAAACCTAAAGCTAGAATTTCCCTAGCTGGTGAGCCAGTTGGCTTAACAGATTTGAACTAGCATGCAAGCCAGCATCAAAGCTGTTTGAACAATCAATTGTTTGGGCTTCAGTGCAGTAAAGATTTATTTCATAAAGACAAAAGTAGTGTATGTAGTTTAAAGCTATAAATACTTGATTAAATAGGTACAATCCACAGGCTGGAACAGAATTTCTTAATCTATGGGGATATGTAACAAATAAGTAAGTAACAAATGTTACTTACATTTTAAGCAAAAGTGATTTGACTGGTCTTCAGTGAATCTACCTTTTTTTGCAGCTTCCAAAGCGATCTCAGGTAATAAATATTGCACAGTAGGAATTGCATTTTCTTTCTATGTCTGTTCACTTATATCTCACACAATGAAATACTTAGTGGCCTGGTTAGATCCCTAATACACCTCAGAGAACCAAACTTGATAGGATTTGTGTATCAGAGCTATCAAATGTACATAATAAAAACTGCTTATTTTTCTGTTTTGATCACTGAACTGACTGACTGTTTATCAGAAACTCCTTTCAGTCTAAATTGAACTAGAATACAAGACCTAGTGCTCTTCTGTAAAGCTGAAAGGCTCGTCCCAATGACAGCAATGACAAAAAGTAAAATAGTAAAACGGCCCCTGAAGACAGAGAAAACCAACAGCATTTAGAATGGTAGTAATGACAATGGTCAACTACTTTAAAATTTGAAAACTACCCACAAAAGGGACTGCATGTTTTCATTTGTGGCAAAGAAATTGTATTTTAATTAGTTTTACTCTTTACAGGTTGTCTGTTGTTAGAACTTGACTTAGCAGACTCTGATTTCTTGAAAGCATCTTATTCATTGTGTTTATATGTTTTAAGTAGATTGGCTGTATTCATGTTAGCACCTTGTTGTTTGGAAGCAGGCACTACCACATTTGCCATGCATTGCATTGATTATGGAGTATGGCCTCCCAGCAAGGGAACCAAGACTAGGCATCTGTTGTTTCTGGAGTGCTGAAGGGGATTGCTAATTAATCTTGTATTGGGAAGTCTTCTTCCTCCATGCTTGACTTCCAGTGCTCCTCCAGAAGTGTATACTACAAAACACAGGTGAAAAAGTGTTAACCCTCCTTCCTGATGGCTTCTGTATTTCACTCTTTGTTCATCATAGAAAAGTGGAGCAAAGCAAGACTGCTAACTCAGGCTCTGTTCTCTTTCTCGTCATGCCATTCCATTCATTCTGTCCCAAATTGCTTTTCTTACCAGAGGGCCTATCTTAAAGAAAGTCAAAACCCACTGCTTGTGCTCTCACTTGCTCCTGACTTCGTTGTGACATTCAATAAGAAGGTTTGCCATATATCTTTTGCAATTTGGCCATCCCTTTCTCAACCAAGATGGAAAGTGAGCTCAAAAGTCCTTCAGAGAAACTTACCCTTCTGAGGCTGCCAAACTTCACTTTTCCCTGCGTGTCCAGAAGGCTGAACCGATAATACAAGGAGGAGCCTTGTTGGGCTCCTTCTGCTCTGCGTGCAGATATGGGGGAATCTTCTTTTCTGTGTACCTAGCTCAGCTCCATTTGGAGGAAATAGTATTCTCTGTTCTTGTTTCTTTTTCTGGCACTATGGAGACTTACCTTCATGTGCTTCAACTGCTCTTGAAGCACAACTTTTGATTCCAATTGTTAGCAATATCATACAATCCTCAGCCCTCTGCTGGGCTTTAGCTCTCTTCTCCATTGTGACTTTTAAAATGGTCTTCATTAGTCAGAGGAGGATGTTTACATCCACTCACACCTCTTCACCTAAACAGGACAGTATCATCCTGATACAACGTACAAGACATGTTTCCTGTTTAGTAACCTGGAAATGCAATTCAAATTTCAGTCACAATGTTAAAAAATGAATCCTTGCACTCAAGGGGTCAAAGGCACAAGAAGTGAAAACAGAAATGCTCCACTTCCTCTGGAGTCTTGAAAGAAAACACATGTTCGGTAATCATATTCCAGAATAAAACGTCTGAGACACTGCTTTTCCTCTGCATTTCCTGCCTTCTTGTTCATTAAAATTAATGTGAAATATTAGGTATTTGCCTGAATTAGTACTTTCCCATGTTGCTCGTTCAGGAAACACATCACGA